CAGTATTGTTATCAGCAGCCCAGTGGCGCTATAACAGCGCATCAGGCCAGGATGTGTTTGATGGGCAGTGTGTTTGCTGGAGCCTAGCTGGGGGTCAGACAGGGCAACCCCGCTGTCGGTGTTAGTGTGCCGATTCTCTACCCCCCACACTTCTTCTAATTGGCCGAATAAGTTTGGAGGGAAAACTTAGGAAGAAGCAGGATCCCTCCAAAATTCACAATACGTGTAGTGTTTTACATATGTCCACGGGAAAGACAGATGTTGTCCCACTTGGCCACATCCACATTTGAATACCTTTATTTGGATACAATGGGGGGAATATACAAAGGGGCTATGTTTTGGCGGTCAAGGCAGATGCATAGCAGTCGAGAAGAGTCCACGCTCCGAGTGGTGGGAATTGCTTTCACAGGAAATATGCACTTTTAGATTTTCAGATTTTTCACCACGAGGTATTACATAGATACAACGTTGTCAGTAGATCGCAGGACAAGTTCCTAATTTTGAAAATGGGCTATATTCCAACATAAGACATGTATTTTTGTGTCCTTACATTAAGGAAAGTCATGGAAATACACTTTATAAACTACTTTAATATTAATATTAATATTTAATATTAAGGAAATAATATGTTTTAAAGTTTCTATAAGTAGTTAGCTCAGTAGTTAAGTAGTTAGTTAGCTTAGCTTAGTTAGCCTAGCATAAATTCCAGAAAAAAAAGGAAAGTCTGCTCTTTTTAAAGACATGAAACTAACACTCAGTACCTCTGAATCTTTTTAAACCTACCATAATCTGTATAAAGATCAAAGTATAAAAAATGATTAATTCAGCAGGAGATTCTAGACTGTAGGCTAAGCTAAGCTAATTGGCTGCTGGCTCCAGTATAATTAGCGGAGGGTCATTCTTCTTTTCAAACTCTTGCCTCTGAAGCAATTAAGCATAGTCGAACTGTTCCTTTAATGGAACTCACAGACTATATGTGCGTCACCAACAAAGAAATGGCAACAAATATTGTCTTTACACCCCAGAATATCTCACTCTGCTTCAGTTTTATGCGATATTACGCATCAAAAGTCCCCGCTGTATCACTCTCAGCTCACTTTTACACAATCACAAGGTCTCAGGATATTTGAGCAGATCAGAAACACGTGTAAAAGGCTGAAAACGTCCAAACAAAAGAACTGAATGGTCAGGTTTTTTTCTTTCTGCTGCTTGGCTGTACTTCAGCACCTCCTCCTCCTCTTCCTCCTCCCCTGCACTCCGTCCACTTCTGAATTGAGTTCGGTCAGCCCGGGTCATCCTTGGCTGGGCAGATTATAATTAGTCTGCCTGCACGCATACAGAGACACATACAGACTTTAAACTTTAAACCCCCTCTTACAATGGCCCTCTCAGACAATAGACACATGCCAGTACCACAACCCCCTCGGCTATCTCTCCGTGCACAAAAACGCCACGGTTACCCTAAAAAACCCTCCACCATCAGTGCTCGGCAGAAAAAGGCAAAGAGATGTGACAAGATTACATTTTCGTCTATCACATTTGACCTTGTAGCACTAAAAATAATGAAGAATTTAACAGGTGCTAAATCTCAGCTGTGAAATGTTGCCATCACCTCAATGTCTTAAGTTTCAAGTGATAAAGTTGATTAGGTGTCACGGTTTCAAAGCTGGGATGCTGTGAAGTTTGCACCCAAAGATTGTTTATTGAGCTTTACGTTCAATCAGCACTGATTATAATGATCTGAGGTCGCTGCTGTCTGCTTTTCCCCAGTGTTATCGAAATCCCGCTGCACGCACTGTGATATGCTGTGGTTTTATTGTGCATTAAAATGTGATTATTCACTCTGAGAAAAACATCAGAGGATGGCAGGTGACAGTAAAAGTGACCGCATCAAGTAACCGTAATTCTAAAAGAATGAAATTAAGTGATTTACGGATCAGTCGTCCAGCCTTAGAAGTAACTTGAGAATCTTCGCATTTCAGCCCCCAGGTGACAATTAAAATCTCTGAAAAGAGCCTCAGTAGGGGCATAACTGTGCACCGAATCAGCATCCAGAGTTTCCTTTATCTCTCACCATCTTTCATCAACTCCATTCAGACTCCTCGGTGACCTGCAGCTCGTCCCCCGAGTCCCTTTTGATCTAATTTTTTAAAAATGCCATTGCACATGGCCCTGCCCTCCCCTTTGCTCTCTCAGCACCTGCGCTACAGTGTCCTCCAACTCATCAATGAACCTGCCTTTCAACGATGTATACATCTGTTGCAAATGAGCTTGCCTTTGTTGAGGGGAGGAAGCCCTTGAGGGAACTGCCAAAAACAAAGTTTGGTGTCTCCCCGGCTCCAGTAAACCCCGACATCCCCCCTCCACGTCTCTCTCACATACACGCACACCTCTTACTTCAGGGGTATCATATCACCAGCCCCTCAGGGTATAGCTGTGCGCAGGCCTCGGATGTTCTCGTGGTAACAGGTGCATTTGAATGTATACAACAGGTGGCAGAAGGGTTCAGTTTTTTAGCTTTAACACAGTTTTTTCTTGGTTTTATTTTTAAAAAAAGTCTATTTTTATGTCAAATATTGGACATAATGAACAATATGTATACACTTCATACAAGAAGATGGGATCTTTGCAGGATATTATGAATTCCACAAAGCATAGCTAAGGCGATAAATATTTATCTCACAGCTCCAAGTGGTTATTTGCCTGACCCGCCACTGATGAACAGTGGAAGCTGATGGAGGGGAGGGGAACGACCGAAGACAAAACTGAGTCTGTCCTCTCACTGAGTGACTCCTCAATAGACATGGTTTCTTTCTGCAGTCAACTGTGCAGGGCAGATAAGTGAGAAAGCAAAGAAGGGATCGAGAAGAGGAAGCGGGAACTTGCTGAATAATTAGAAGCGTGAAGTATGGTCCTGAACTGCCTGACACATTCATGCGTGCACGCATATGCATGAGCTCACACACTCACTCATACTATTCCTCTTTATGCCACGAACGCACCCACACACACAAACACGCACACTTATATACGCACTAAAACACACATTCATACTTGGTCCCAACTGAAGGATTTGGGCCCTATCTGCACATGTATGCGAGTTAATCAGGGCCTCTTAACAGACAGAAAGCAAAGGGTCACTCGGGGTGAGGTGTTTGTGATGGAAATTTGGACGGCAGGCGTAGGAAAACAAAGCTAGAGACAAGACGCCCCAGAGACGACATACTTTACACATGAGATAACACACAGTGAGAAGTTACAAAAAACCCCCAAATCTTCCCTTAAAATACGATCACAAAGGCTTTTTCATTCATTCTACTGATAAGCATCGCTGCAGTGGCACTTATCAGTCAATCATTGACTGCAAAGCATCTCATCGGGTTATAAATATCTTACATTGGAATCCACACGGACAATTTTGGTGTGGCCTCCACGGCTCAATATATGACTATGAAATCAGGTTAGTTGCTCCCCAGGTTGCCACAGTAATTGCCACAAACTTTGCTGACTCCAGGATCTGTGCCGAAGCTACGATGTTGGCCTGCTCATTCCTTCACATACAGGCCACGTCTCGCCTTCGCTCGGTATAGATGGTGCATTGATTGGGGACGACCAGTCCAAGGCTGAGAAATTTCACAAAGATGGGATTTAATGGCCCTTCGATTGAGCAGTTCTGAAAAGGTAACCTCTGACCCTACCCAGCCTTAACCCCCAGCATCTCCGCCCATCCTCCAGGGTCCAGTGCTTGTCATCGGTCATTTGTCAAACTCCTCACACTGATCTGATTACCGTCCAATTTAGGATCTGCCGACTACACACTTCTAGGATCAAGACAAGCTGCTTTTCAGCAACTTTACATGACAACAAATAGCTGGATTGTTATGGGAAGACTAAAGAGACGAGTATTTGTTCTATTCACACAGAAAACTTTAGATAGAGGCCAAACTCGGTGTCTGCTAATGGCCATGCATTCTTCATCTAATGAAGAACTGATAGGCAGTTTGTATTAACCTGGTTAAGAATGGAAAGTATTGTTACCACAGGTTAACAGAGAAAAGATGGATTATGTAAAAGATAGAGGGGGAAAACAAATCAGCCACTTAAAGAATAATCCAGAGTTTCTCACACTGATTCCATCCAAATCTAATGATTAACAGCTGACACAGGAACATGTTGTGTGTTCATCATTCAGCTATGCTGGTGTTTATATTAGTCCACACCAGCACAGTTAATTTTACACTCGAGCAGTTCTGAAATGACTCCCAGCATTTCCTGAGTGTCTGAAATGTATTTATTTTATGGTGTCATCCAAACTTTCCTCTATCACAGCAACATTCCTTTCTTTGTGATATCCACTTTCGGTTAAAAGCTGGCTAATTGTTGTTGAATTCTTTTTTACTCAATCTTTATTTAAGTATGTAACTCTCATGGTGGTTGGTTATTTTGCAAGGGAGACTTGGTACGACTGTGGTACGTTTCAGGGCAGGAAAACAAATCATCAGGTGCATGAAAAAAACAATAATGAAAGCCTGGGGACAATGTGTAATGGCTGAAAGAATACATCATTAAACGTGTGTTTTTAAGGTGTGTCACTGAGGCTAAAGCCAATCACTGTAAACCATACTTTGGCTTCAAAATTTTTCTCTGTGACTCATTGTGGTTACAATCCTAAACTCTGAGCTTCCTCCCAAGTGTGTTGGTGTTCATTTTGGACATCATTTCTCTAACAATCAGATATGTTGGCTTGGGTTGCTGCATTGTCTGGCTCCTCAACCACTTTGTCTCAGATGTCCATTTAAAGAAGCAGATTTTTTTTCAGGCCTCTTATTCTAATGTGCAAGTCTCTCACAGGATACCAACACTAAATAGTTTCATTTTTGTACCCAGTAAGCATTATGTAGCTTGCCACTAATAAGCTGATAGGCTTCAGTCTAAAGATGAGGTGTTTTTTTCTGTAGTGGTGAAAATGCACAATGAAAAACACAGCATGATCATAAGCTGCATTTCTGAGGTTCAAATGGGCAGCAATGCAAACCAGTAAGTAATGCGAGTAATGCTCCCTTTTACCATTTTTAGTTATAGTGTGTGACTTCAGTGTGTTCATATGATTTAAATCAAAAACATTAAAATATACTTATATACTTTCCAAATTTTTTCAACATGTATATATCAGTTTTCCATAGGAGAAACTAATTTATCCATCTTAATGCCTACAACAGCATAAAAGCAATCGTGTATACTTTCAGGGTGAGCTAATATTATGTTGCTAACAAGCTAATAACTAACATGCTAGCTAAAAATAAACACTAGTCAGTCAAGTTCTTGTTCTTGGCTCTGGCTGTTTATGGCTGTTTATATCATTTAATTTCAGGAACAGTTTCATTACACGAGAAAGAAATATTCAGTCTAATTTTGTCCTTTCTTTATTTAAAAGTTATTGAAGAGTAATCTTAGCTAACAACGTTAGCTGTTAGCTCCTAACTATTCTCTCACATTCACTGTAGTTTTGCAGAGGTCAGTGGGTTAAATCTAGTTTGTGAAATTTCTTAATCAAATCCACAGAAAAGAAAAAATGAAACTGGAGCTTTTTAAAAGCTGCTTAAGAGCTATGTATAAATAAACAAATATGATTCTCCGTGCATGTACTTGTCTTTGTATATAGTTCCAGAATAAACAAATGGAAAGCAATGGTTTCCATTTCTGTGTCTGAATTTCTGTGTCTGACTCCTCTGAAAGGCATCTCCATTTCTATCTTTATTGTCACTTTACGTATATACAATGCGTTTTCCAGCCCCCTACTATAAGACTATCATAACTAAATGTATAACCCTGATTTTAACATAATTCTAACCCCAGTAAGTGCCCAGTTTGGGACCCCACTCATATACTAAAACAAGCCCGAACACACACACATGCAGCACATGCGTAGCCCCTGGCTCATTATGGCTGCTTTAGCTCCTTTGGATTGTTTTGGATAGGGCTGTGGGGGTGGGGACAGGGTGGAGACCAGTGACCCCGGAGTGCCTGACCTGAGGGGACATTTGAAGAGTTAAGGGAGAAGCTGCACAAAGGCAGAGACAACCACCACACAGGGAGGGAAAGTCACTTTTTGGGTACCCCTGCTGGGTCCTTCTCTCCTGTGGAGATCCCCATTGGTTTTCAAAGTTAGAAAATACAGTGATTAGTCATCACTGGTAACCTGCACAAGCTTTACCAGAACAACTGCTTTTCAGTTGATAATGTAATGAATTAGCCTACAACTGTGAAAAGTTCATTATAATTAAAACAAAGTCAGTCTGTCCCTGTACAGCCTGTAATCAGAAAAGAGAAAATAAAATGTTATTCCTAATTAGATGCTGATAGTTAACGCGGTGCTAAATTAAGAGTGGATGAATTTCCCAGTGCATCCCCGCAGTAGTCTGAGACAGCAGGTTTGATTTCCCTCCAAAATCTCAGTCCTATTATACAGACCACTGAGCAGCTGCCTCCATCCCCAGCCATCACACATCAATCCACGGTGTGTGTGTGTTTTTTGTTGTTTTTTTAAGTGAGGGTATTTCAGCTAGTCAGCTGTTAACCCCCCAGGGTGTGAAAGATTGTTGGACTAACACTGCAGATTTCCAAAACAAACTCTTTGATTTCAGCGTAGTTGAGTAAAATGATGAGAAAAACGTTGAATATATGGAGATAGTTGCAACTAGTCTGACAACATGAAAAACATGTGCTATTTAGAGTTTTAGTATTTGGTTTATTAAGAGTTTAAAAGAGTTTTTTGGTTATTTTTTTAAACTTTGCAATGATTGATTCAATGCTCGTTAATAACGCACATTCTGTTCCCTGTTTGTGTTTGTGCAGGACCCGGATCCAGACACAGGATCCATCTTTTTAGGAGGTAAAGTTGATGAGCTGTTTCACCCCCCCTCCCTTTGTCAGAAAGTTTAATCAGGGCTGCAGAGGTGTGTGGATGACCTTTGACTCCTCTGGTATCTCTGGCTTTTCTCTTACTTGCCTGTGGGGCAGCAGTAGGATATCCCTCATTTAACTCTTAACCTGAGGAGGCAAATTTAGCAACTTTAGCATGTTTAGAGTTAAGATGCATTAAAGGCACGTTTACAAAGCCAGCTGGTCTTTTTTTTTTTTTTTAATGATTACAAAACTATTGACAAGGCCAGAGGAAAATACCAGAGGAAACCCAATGCAACCCACATTTAATCCTATTCAAATAACATAAAAAAATATGGTGCTTCACTGGTATCAAAAATAATTTTGGTGGCAAGCGCTAATGCAGTTCATTTTATTTTGTATTTTGTTATTAGGATCACACTCAACAATGACCCTATTTTATAAGTTATTGGCACATATAACTAATCTATATTTTTTGGTTGTTACAGTATCAGTAACGCCTAAATTACTTTTCACTAAAATACGTGTGGGACTATGCAAGAATTATGACGATCAGGATTAACTGAGCTGAAGGCCATAGACCATATGGGAGTATATGCACGCTGTATATCCAACACATGCAGGTGGAAGACCATTTAAGGCTTTAAACACAAACAGTGCACTTGGATTCTGTAATCCACAGGGAGCCGGTGCAAGCTTGCTAACAGTGGAGTAATGTGATCTCTCTTTTTTTGTCCCAGTCTAAGGAAGAATCTGATCTTAACCACTGCATTTATTTGTTTGTCAAATGAAGATACGTCCTGCACACAGAGGGCCACTCGTACCAAATTTGTGAAAAAAGGCAAAAAATACAAATCATCTGTGTTATTGTGCTTCTTACAAATTGATCAAATGTTTCTCAGGTCAGAAAGATCCAGCTGGGTGAAACAGGAAGTGACGTTAAATACCTGATGGATCTTCAAGTTTATGCATTTGACCAAAGGAGCAGGCTAATTCAATGGACATGAAGAGGAAAATTCTAACACAGAGCTTGATGTGTGTTCATTTATGCATGAATAAGCAGTCAGATTGCAGCGTGTTTGCAAACATTTTTAGACATATATCTGAGAACATGAATAATTTACTCTTTTCCTGTGTTGATCTTCTTATAGAAAACAAAGTAGAACTACTTTTTGTGCATTTATTTCTCTACTGTTTTGTACATGTTGCATTCAGACCCACTTGAAGAAACTGCCATAAGTCTATAAAACGTTTGTCTGTTCAAAATGAGCAAATCCACCTAAGAGCCACCACTGTGGATAAATGCTGCTTTTGTGTCTCCCGTTTTGAACCTGGGGTTTCGCTCAGTCCTAAGGAGAGTGTGTTCACCCCCCTTTTTTTTCTTCTTTTTGTCTTTTCAGGCTTTTTGGCGCTAAATAGTGGAGACCACTGCCAAATGGGAAAACGACTACACACAGAGAAAGAAAGACCAGACTCAATCAGGAAGTGGCAGCTTTTCAGCTGTGCCAGAGGAGCCGGGCAACTTCCTGGTCTCGTTGCCAAGGTGACTGGAAGCGCGGCCAGCTGGTGCAGTGGGCAGCCGTTGGGTTTGATGGGGGGGTTGACGACGGTTGGTATATTGGATGGGAGGAGTTGGTGAAAAGCTGTGATGGAGGGAGTTTAAATGTAAGCAATGAATACTTTAAACACAGCGGACCATTTTAATTGATAAGCACCAAATCTATTCACTTTCTCCCACCTTTTTAGCATGCAACTTTGTTTACATAGATTTTTACACCTGGGAAATGCACAGAAAACTGATCGAGTACTTTCTTACGGCCAATCCCTTTCAAATTTCCTTAATAAAATTGTCTGAAGAGGGTGTGTTTATGTTTATTCTTGCAAAAACTCAACAATGACCAAAGCATTTGCAAATCAAATGCACTTACATTTCTGGGAATGCAGTTCCAGATATGATTTATTTGCAGTGTAGGCCTAATTTTCCAATGTTTATTTTTGCTTATTTGATAAGTATGCTGGTAAGGACAATTAATAAAAAGACAACTGAACAATAAAACATCCATCATGCACATCAACACAATGAATATAAAAATAGAGATGTAAAAAGGGAAGATTATGGCCTGTGCCATATTGGGCTCTAATATGGGCCGTATTAGAAAGTGTTACTGTCCCTCATCATTTTGCTCCAGGGTAAAGTAACGAGCCATCCCTGCTGTACAGACAAACACTACAGATATATTATAAGAGTATAATTATCATCTTTTCTTAAAAGACAGAATTCTGATGTGCATTGAGAAAACTGGACTGGGTGCAAATAAAGAAGGAATCTAAGTAAATAAGAAAATACATGTGAAAGAAGGTAATACTGATTCCTCACAAACCTGTAACAGTGCATACAACAGATTTTCTTACATAAAATTATTGCTGACATGTAACACCTATTTTATTGTGGAAAAATCACACAGTTAAGATGTAAGTGCAATTCATTAACATTTTAAATAGACTCTCACTTGTTAAAAAAACAAACAAAAAAACTATTACGTTGAGTTTATTAAAGTTTTTTTCCCGCAGTAAACTGTGAAAGTTTTTCTGATATTGTGTCCATTTCAATTAAAATCAGGAGGGAAGACTTTTGTGTTCTTGTGACCTACAGATTAGTTAGATAGGTGGGTGTTCTGAAGGATCGGGGGACCAGGCCGGTGGAGATAGGTAAACACAGCTGGGGGACACACAGGGCTTGGTGGTCCTGTGTTGTAGAGGCCCCCTTCACACATTTATCAGTGTGTTTGCTCAGGAGATGTGGCTTAATCTTCACACACTGATCTCTGTGTGGAGTCTTTACAGAGGCCCAGCAGGCTGGGATGAAAGTGACCCTGTCCTCAATCGCATCTTGCTAATTCCTCCACTGCTAAACTTGAATGTTGTGCATATGATAAAGGCCCATAAAGGTCATCTATAGCCCTCTCTGTGGGTGGGATGTCAACTCGCATATATGCCGAATTTATTTCCCTAATCGGACCCCTCCTTGAGCATATTAAACCACAACTGTGATGAAAGGTTTTGAATATTTTTGCACATCACGTATTACTTTAATGTTAGTACAATTTTACTTCGTTCACTTTTATTTTAATTTTCTCCAATACCAAAGAAACTTTTTTAACCATTAAAAAGAAAAGATGTTTGGAAGAAGTTTTATCATCCAGCGCCTCCTGCTGGTGATTTGAGGTTGTGCTTCTCTTCTTCAGCCACATGATGCATGTAGGCTGTACAGTAGGCAGAGAAGAGTAGTGCAGTAAAGAGTGCAAAAATAATAGGGGGAAAAAACTGAGGGATCATTGAGGAATTAAATTATATATATTTTAATAATAACCAGAAAAGAATGAGTGGAAAGTACGTCTGAGATTGAGATGATATTTTGATGCACTGATATCTCATTAGCCAATCACATGACAGCATCTCAATGCATTTAGGGATGTAGACGTGGTCAAGACGCCCTGCTGAAGTTTAAACTGAGCGTCTGAATGGGGAGGAAAAGTGATTTTGCCACACAACCATTTCTACATTTTACAGAGAATGGTCTGAAAAAGAGAGAATATCCAATCAGCTGCAGTTCTCTGGGTGATGTCAGAGGAGAATGGACAGACTGCTTTGAGTCTAATTTAACTAGTTGTTACAGCAGATGAATGCAGAAGAGCATCTCTGAATGTATAACATGTCAAACCTCTAAGCAGATGATCTACAGCAGCAGAAGACCACACCAGGTCAACAGAAGATTGGAGAAATGTTGCCTGGTCTGATGAGTCTCGGGTTCTGTGGCAACATCCAGATGGTAGGGTCACAGATGGAAACATGGATCCAGATCTCAAACCCACACAGCACCTTTGGGATGTTGTGGAACAGGAGATTGCCATCATGGATATGCAGCTGACAAATCTGCATGAAATGTGCGATGCGTTCATCTCAGTATGCACTAAAATATACCAGGAATGTTTCCAGCACCTTGTTGAATCTGTGCCATGAAGAATTAAGGCAGTTCTGAAGGCAAAATAGGGGTCAGTGAGTGTAGGTGCCTTCCTGAAGTTTATGGAAAAACATAATCTTAACAGTTCTCTGTTCAATTGATATGATATGCTTGCAGGATTTCTTCAGGATAATGATCTAACTCTTACAGAGGCTGGAGCAGCTGACTAGGAAATAATAGACTTCCTTTTTCTGTGTCTGTTTCTTGCTGGCTCACTGATTCACAACATGTTCAGTTTATATGAACCAAACTGTACACTGTATCTGTATGTGCATCCCAGGGAGAACACACATAAAGATGAGGAGAACTCAACTCCAAGTACAAACACTCACAGGTGGAGGTGCGGGGAGGAGATTTTTTGAGAGAGAGAGAGAGGTAAAGAAACAGCACAGGAATAACAGAAGAAAGATAGAGTGGTGAAATACAGAAAAACAGAGGGGGTAAAAGCGTGAAAGAAGGAGGAAAGAGAAAGAAAGACGAATAACATAATGTGAAAGAAGTGGGTAGGAAGATAGGGCGAGGGAGTGATAGAAAGAGAAAAGGTGGACCGGCAATAAAAACAGAAAGTGATGAGGTAATGGAGCGAGAGTAGAGAGGAGGTGGAGGAAGGATCTGGAAAAGGCTGGACACAGAGGAAGCTGCTGATGTCCATGCTGGGCCACACAAACAGCATCCTTCTCCACCCTCCAGTCCCCGGAGCACTTCTTATTCCTGTGCCAGCTCCATAAGTCTTTCATCTTTTCTGTTTCTTTCATAAGCACACACAGGTCTTATGTATTTGCCTGCTGAGGTGCATGCACACAGTTTGACTCTATAGGGAGACAGAAACTGTGCAGCCGGTTGAACCTCCAGCTTTCAGGTCTGCAAAGCCTCTACACTGCAGATTTAATATAATACATATTTTATCAAGGATGGGTTAGTCTTCATCAGCCCTCCTCTCAGTGTCAGCTGACTCGGAGAAGCGCTTTTATTCTTGTATTTGAAGTTGAACTAAACCAATTTCTTTGGCATTTAAGTGCAAAATGTTTCATGGTTTTGTTTTCTGGAAAAGAACTTGTGACCTTATCACTGTGACAGCGTTGATTTTTATGTATGAACTTTATGAATTAATATAAGTCATCCAAGATAATCAGTGTGAAATTTCTACTTTTTAATCTTTAATTTGCTCTGCGCAAAAGCAGTCATTCTTCTCTTCTCAGTTATTAGCTTTCTTTATTTTTCCCACAGTGGAAGTTCAAAAGGCTGTAGCAGTCATTTAAGAGCACACTGGAGACAGAATGGGTGGATATATTACCTCTTTCATATCATCACAGATGCAATTTTGAGATGCTCAAAGGTTTGGTCCCTTTTTGTTAACTGTAGATTTTGATGATTAATTTTCACATATAATATTTTTTAAAAGGAAATGTATTCAAATGAATGTAGATTGTTAAAATTAAGCGTGTCTCCTCTGAAGTAGGCTAGTTAAGAAGTGAAAGAGACAGGAACCAACAATAGGAACTAGAATAGCACAAGAGATGGTCAGATTTGCATTAGGAGCCTAAAGGGAGCAAGCGGAAGAAGAAGAAGAATGCACACCTTAGAAGACCGATTGCATGTATGCAGCTCGTAATTATGCTTATAGAAACTGTTTATACAGTTAGATGGTCGTATTTAATTGTCTATTTAATCGGAAGTTCATATTGATGTGGTGTGAACTGGGTGAACTTAAGGGTATGCGCTGTATAGACATGAAGCTGGACTGGTCATACTCCCGGCTTCCGTCGAATTCGCGTCAAAGCGCTTGACGTCAGCATAACAACAACCTGTCATGACAGCTCGTATGGGGGAAAAATTAATCGATTAAAGATTTGATCTTGAGTTACATAAAACTGGTTTCTCTTGGATGTGGGATTCCTGCTGAAAGGTAAGAGTTGAAAACCGTATAACCGCGAAACAAACCCTGTACGGGACAGAAGGTGAACTAAACCTCAGTGAGCTGTGTGGAAAATAAGCTAACGTAGCGTTAGCTGATTTTTCTTTTCTGTGGTTAACAAATGTCGAGGCGACTCCTTCAGTCCCACAATTGTTACAGAACTAACCTACTAACTAGCTGCTGGTTATATCGAGTGAGTGAGCTTTACTGTCTTCAAACTAGCCAGCCACCCGGCATTAAGCGACAAAATCGCTTACTGAGCTAGCTTAGCCATGCTAGCATAGCAGCGATCTCTTGTCTGCTGGTGACCAGAGTTAGCAGCATTGTCCGTGTGTGTGCTTGTGTAACGGCTGTATTTCAGTTTTAGTGAGTAAAACAATAGCGATATAGTTTGTTAATACTGTTCGTCTACAGCTTTCAGTGTAACACTGCGCTTAAATGCAATGCTAAGGACCGCGGCTGTGTGATGTTTGGTGATAGCCAGCTGTGCTGCTCATTGACTCGCCTCTGATGTCCGTCACATGAATAGTTAACTCGCCGGCGGTGCAGCCACCTCGCTGTAGTTTTCAGCTGTGAGCGCAGTCAGCAAATTAAAC